ACAAAGTTCCCAAAGTTTGGCATCCTCACCCTGGTGAATAGCTGCAATTCATCACAACAATTTAAATAATCTATGAGTGCTGCAGTCAGGGCAACAGCACAATGAAGCTTCAGTGTTCTGCTGGAGTCAGGGGTGACTGCCAGTGAGAAAGATCTGAGTTTAATCCATCACCAAGTTTGTATATTTTCAGATAAGAGGCAACAGAGAACCTTATGTCAGGTCTCTAGACAGACATTTGGTATGAATTATGAAACATATTTATTTGGTGTGAATTAATGAGATAATACTGGCATCACCAGGGACACAGCCCACATATTCTGACAGCAGCAAAAATAACATGCATTTTACATTGAATTCAAGCATGGGACAGAAAACCTTGTTTTCCCTAAAGCTTCTGTAAACTGTCCTCTTATTTATTATTTATTACCTTAAGTTATATTCACATCTTTCTATACAGGATTGAGAGATCTCTGTAGTTTCTTCCACCTGAGCGCTCTACTGCAAGAGCCTACAAATCTTATGATGTCTTTGTAATGCTCCACTGTCATGCTTTCATGGCCTTCACTCATCTTCTATGGATTTGTTCAGATCTGTAATGCACACTAAATATGCACTGGATGTGGGGCCTGTTCCCCTGAGGGAGAAGAAAGGCAAGAAAATCAAGCACTCGTGAGAAGAACATGGAGAAAATGATGCAGACTGCCAGGCTTCTCTTTCCCTGGCCTCTTCATACAGAATGCACTTTCTTTTGCAGTACATCACAACCTCACAGCCTGCTACTTGTCATAAATAAAGGCATAGTCTAGTTTCTCAAAGCAAGTAGCAATGCCTATGAGAGTCAGATCTAACAGAGAATACCCTTATAAATCAAATTATAGATGCATTAACTCCTCATACAGCTTGGCAGTTAAATAACCTGAATGCAAAACTTTTCCTAAAAGCCATATTCTATCTTTACTTGCCCTTCAACCAAGCACTTTCAAAGTAGCAGCCTCTATGAGCATTTATCTGCAACTACTGAATTACATCTGCTCCTTACTCCATTCAAAATACAGCGAGCAAAAACCCAAATTCAGCCCATTGTGGATCTTGGGTGACGGTCTCTGAATGCAGCACAATACACCCATGCTCAGCACCAACAATGAGATTGGTACAGGCTGAATTCTGGAGAAAACACTGCTTTCACAAACCACTTTGCAAACAACCATGTTACAGGCTTCAGAAGTGGTCAAACACAGACAATCCTCCCCTCTCCTATTGCCTTAACTCCTGTGGTTCAAATGACAGGCCAGCTGACCTCAATCAAAAAATTTAAAATGTGTTGCCATTGTAGAAGAGGCAACTTCTCACCTTTCCTCTGCAAATCCCTAAATCAGGACAAGGCTATCCTCACCTCCTTCTCAAGGGTATCTTGCCAACCCTGTCACAGCAGAGGAGGATAAAGGCAGCTGTTCCTCAGCATCCCTTTGGTGTCTAGATGTTATATGAAACCTCCAGCCATGCCTGTAGGTGGCAAGGCTTGTAGATGAAGGTAAAAATACTCAAAGCTGGACAGTCAGAATAAGTCTTACAGCCCGTTTGTATAAAATGCCATGGAATATCTTTGCACTGAGAGTACTCATTCCAGAAACAAACATAAAATTTAAGGCCCCAAGTTCCTAAATTGGCTGCTCCTTTCCTTCCCTACCTATTTTCCTCCAACAAGCAGAAGTCAGTGTACTTTTCATATCTGTCAACACAACCAGTATCAATCTTTTTGGCTGCTTCACTCTGCTTACAACTCGTGTAATGCAGTATTCCCATATTGTACCAATATGGGATAAGATGTTAGACACTGACAGCACACCAAGATGAGTGAAAACACCACCTGCAAGGGTGAGTGCAAAAAATTACTTCATTTTTATTGTTATAAATAAAAGACTTTAGTACAGATGGCACCACAACAAAGCCAACCAGCAAGAACTGTTTCAGCATAATGATTTGATGGCATCTAGCACTGAGACAAGCAGACCATAGATGTGTGTCAGGTATTAATTACAGGGCATTTCCAAGGCAGACACTACTTAAATGCACACAACTGTATATTCTTAGTGTTTAGCTGTCAATTATTAATGACCAAAGTGCTTCACCTTACACATTGCTCATATGGCATTCTGCACAACTGCTTAAGTTGCATAGGGAGGAATAAAGTCAGAAGAGAAACTTGCTACCTGTCACTGCTGCAATCTGCTGAAGCCTCACCACCAGTCCATTTCACTGCCCTTTGCTTGCCCGTCCTTCAGGCAGCTTGTGACAGTCCTGTGACAGCCCATGTGCACAGCAATATTAATTGCTTTCAAATAGCAATTTGCCTTATTCTGCAATCACCTTTAAGATTTTTTTTTTAATTCATAACTGGCTTTATCATTTTCTTCGTGGATTTTCTCTAGTGAGTAAGAAGCCAAAGACTATAATAAGGACAGGAGGGAACAAGAAGAAAAGTCAGGGTTGCCAAATTTAAACACTTCCCCACATGCTTTATATAGAAAACTGAAAGGCTATGAAAGGAGCCTTGTCCTCTGTACAAGGGGTAGGTGTGCATTTATTTACATATGAGAGACAAATTCAGTCAGCTGAACATAAGGAACACCCAGCCACTCCCTGTAATTTCAATTACACACAGAAACAACCCTCAGCTGGAACCATCAGTAGCAGGGTTCTCTTTTCTGCCTTTGCCCTTACTGTACTTGGCAAAGGGAGGGCATTTCAGGTGTACACTTTATAACAATACAGCATATTTTGTACGTTCAAGCACTTCTGAACAAGTGTTTGAGGTGGCCAGGCTGGTTCTTCTGCTTGTCATCCCTTTGAATGACCATTTCAAGAGATTTGAAAGATTTCTTGCACAGGTGCAGAGTCAATTGAGGGGAAAAAAATGCACCTCACCAGAAATACCTGTGCTCTGGGGAGACTTTGAACAAGAACTGGAGGTACTGTACTGGTCTGGATTTATACTTGTCTACTTGTACAAACTCTAATTTGTATTAAATAGGGATTAAGTGCAGCTGAAGGCCACTGCATAGAACAAGAAACAGATGGAGTTGGTGACAAAGGGCCCAAGGCAAAGGACTATCAGACACAGAAAGAAGTACCACCACTTGATGCCTGGTCTATTACATCAGTGATGACTGGATGACCCCAGTTTATGAAGCACACAGAAATAACAAAACTCAACTCATGCATGTCAGACCTCTGGGTGTTCTGCACACATGCCATACAAGTGGCATTTTCTAAAAGGTTTTCCACTTGGACAATGGTACATTGAGTCTTCTTCCCTGGCAAGGCCTCTGTGATCAAGCCAGCTAAACATGCAGGGCCAGCTTACGCCTTGCCCTTCAGCAGACAGACAGTGGGAAAGAGATATCCCTGTCTGAGCTGTACTACTCAGCCAACCATCCTTAGCTGTGCATCAGCACCAAGTGCTAAGGTGTCACCAACTCAGACCGAGCCCCACTGTCCCAACTGCGAACATTTTTTGACTGAGTCACTAAAACACAAAATTAGGACCTTTTTAAATTCCTTTTTTTAAATTATTATTTTAATGTGAGTTACTACACTACAGAAAAACTAATTTGGATATAAAAATAGCTCTTGGACAAAATAATTTACATTTTATAGTACCTAACAGTACAACTGATTAGAAATGAAAAAAGCAGGTCAATTCAGCTCCTTAAGTTTTAAGTGCTTTATAGCTTTACTGAAAGAAAAAATTTAGGTGCTGAAGTACTATCACAGTTCTATGCTTTTTTCATCAGCAGTATTCCTATATGTTGATTAATTCTTGGAAATTTATTCACTGAAAGCATTTAACTGCTTTAAGTGTGTAACTTTCTCTCTTCTTACAAACTCTAGTAATTAAGAAGTGGGGAGGGGAGGTGTTGGGGGGACACCCATAACCCTGTCTTACTTTTTAAAAACACAACTTCCTTATAACCCTAGTCTGTATGCTCAATGGCAACTATTTATAGGATAAGCACTGCCTGTTTGAGATCAGTCAGGAAGCACTAACTTATGAACAGGTAAGCAAATTATTAAATGTCATTATTAGTATCAGCTGATTAAATTTCCCATAACAGAAGGAGGGCTAACTTGGGGGCAAGGAGGAAAAAAAAATAAAGAAACAGTGCATCTTTTATAGCAATATCAATGTACTGCCAAGACACAAAGCCTTCTCTGGTTGGACAAATTTTGGGGTGATTTTTTTAAAGCTTTTCTTATTTGACAAGTCCTTATTATTTGTGTCAGTGACCTGCATTCAAATCATCAGAACCCAGCTTCCCTGCACAAATCCCCTGCACTCATCCTTTAGAATGCTGTCCACTGTGATGGTTTGTGAAATGTAACTACTGTAAAAATAAGTGTAGAAACTATGGTCAGAGGAACGTCTCCTAGAGTTTTTCAAAACACCAATGCAAACTGCTATCTAGAAGAAAGGAAGAATTATCATTCAGACACTTATATGCAAGTATTAAATGGAAATTGACAGTAAAACAAGAAATGAAATTTAACTTCATTATAACCGGGTTAGCAGTCCATCCCCGACTATCCGTGTGGGAAGAATCAGCCAGGAAAAAAAACCACCAAAAACCACCAAAGGAGAACGCAAAGGAGTCACCTCTAGAAGCATTTAAAAGTTCAAAGAAAGAGCCGGGCATCTCGCCGGATATTCGAGACCGCCAAGGATTTCAGGGTGGAGGAATGGGCAGCCCGGCTCTTGGCGCCGAATTCACGGGGGTCAGCGATGGGTGATGCACCCTGACAAAACACGCCCGTGGCAGGGGAGAGTTTGGGAACTGGGCTCCCTCCAGAGCCCCCCTCATGCCCAGGGCCACGGGGCCGGCGGTCGCTCCGTGCCCCCGGTCCTGGCTGCCCCACACCGGCCCCGCCGCCGCCGCGGGGCCCTCGGGGGTCCGGGCCTCCCCGGAAGGCCTCCGGCAGCGGGCGAAGCGCCTTTGCCTTACCCGTGGTGGAGAGGACGGTGCTGGCGAAGAAGAGGGAGGAGGTGAAGTCCCAGTTCCAGTTTCCCGAGGCGTTGCTGAGCACCGAGACGCCGTAGTTGCTGGCCTCCAGCACCCGCACCAGGAACTGCTCCAGCTGCTGCTCCGAGAGGCAGGCGTGCTCCTCCAGGAAGCGCTGCTTCAGCTTGCCCAGCTCCTGGCGCAGCAGGTCTTCGTAGGGCAGCTCCACCGAGGAGAAGACCACGGCGCCGAACACCAGGTAGAGCAGGTAGCCCAGCACCAGCAGCGCGAAGCACCAGGCGGAGCGGTGCTGTTCCACCAGCCGCACGCAGGAGCTGCCCGCCAGCGACTGCAGCATCTTCCCGAGCCGGGGCCGGCTGAGCCCCGGGCCGGGCCGCGCCGCTGAGGGGAGCGGGGGCTGAAGGAGCGGGGAAGGGAAGGGGCAGTGCGGCCGGCGGCTGCCCCCCGAGCGGCGGGCTGGCTGGGAGGGCGCGGAGCGGCGCTGATGTGGCGCTCACGTGGACGCGCGGCGCAGGTACCGCGGCGGAGGGAGGGACGCAGGCAGGGAGGGAGGAAGGGCCTCCCCCCTCCTCCTCCTCCTGCCGCCGCTGCTGCTCCCGCCGCCTCGTGCTGGGACGCCGGCGCTTTCTCTCGCTGCTGTTCCCTGTCTCCGAGTAACGCGTGGAATCCCCCCCTGGCGCTCCCAGAAGCCGACCCGAGAGCCTCCCCCCGCCCCGCGCTGCGGCGGAGCTTTATTCCCCTTTCCGCGCAAAAGTCTCTGGAGATTTCCTGGCCCCGCTGCTCCCCGCCCCCTGCGGTGAGAAACCCCCAAAACAGCAATTTCTTCCACTATTTGTTGTTATTATTTACTTATTTATTCATTCATTCACATTCCAGCGCAGCATAAGGTGACGCAGTGTGAAGCGGGAGGCTGACTTTCATTCAGCGCAGGATGTGATGAGTTCAAGGAGAAACCCAGATGTCAGGTGTTGAAGTCCTCCCTCAGGTCTCTAACTTCGAAATGGGGCCTGTTTGGGGGTGCAGTTTGAACCAGGTGACCTCCAGCAGCTCCCCAAACAAGCTAAAGGAGTCTTTGCGCTTGTGAGACACTTTCTTTTTAATAGTGTGAGTGCCTGGCTAGTGCTCAGAGCAGCATCCACGGTGAATACAAATGTGCTGTGCAGCCAGCCCTCTGTGTAGCCCCAGCCAGAGATCTTCACAAGTTTCACTGTGAATGCTTCTTCCTTCATCCATCTCAAACGCCAACCAGCGCAGTAAACTTGCCAGATGAGGCTCCCTGCCAGATGAAAAGGAGAAGTAAAAATTACAGCTTCCCAAACTATCCTTTAGGGTGAATAAAGACAGCTTTTAGTAAAGGAGGGAGAAAGGGTTCCCTGGTCACAAAGTTCTGCCATGGCCCTTCCACCTCTCAGCTGATGGCAATTTTTTACAGACACAAAGGAGTAACTTGCAGATTAGAAATTTACTAGGGTTGAGCCAGGGAGTTTGGACAGAGTAAATAAAATCCAGCAACCTATCTTAAGGTGTGACATACCCCTCTAAGCTTTAAGGACTACTGTGGGAAAAGAATAGAAAAATGAAAGGCAAAAAAAAATTTCAGGCTAAAAACTTAAAATTATATGTCAACATTTCCTTTTATACAACAGCTACATGAAGCTATGGGATAAATCTGGCCTGACAGAACAGCTCATCCAGTTCCTGGTCTATTCCCCACTGCCCGCCACAGCTGGGTCAGTCCAGGGCCTTGAACACATCCCCCACCCCCGTGTTTCATTAAAATGTAAATGTGCTCTTGCATGCAAACAGCGGCTGCTTGTATGGTTGGTCAGTAGAGCACTGGGGGGATGTGGGAGGTGCGCAGGAGACAGGCTGAGCAGGCAGACTCTCTGTGACGTGCTGGGGCAGCCCATGGGTGGTATTCGTGACAGGCAGTGGTCATGTCTTTGCTCTGAAACAGAATTTCCCCAACCTTCAAGCCAAATATTTGTTTAAAGGTTAGAAAATGTTTGCCTAAGAACACACCTCTCTTCAGTTATAGGAAACTGTGGCTGGGTAAGCTGAGCCAGCCTCCTTCAGCTTTCCATTTTTATGAATCAGTCACTCTCCATTTTTAGAAGCCTCTCACACTTCAGGTTTGTTGGGCTGCAGAGAAAAAGAGGACTCTCTGCTGAACAGAGCCTGCAATACTCTCCTGACTCATTCCTAACTGTTCTGCTAGTCAAAGATTAGGCTAGTCAAGGATTCAGTGTACTGAACTCCGTGTTATGTCCTGTATAACAGGATGTCACAACATGCTTCAGCAGGGAGTCACTGGAATTGGGGAGCAGGATGTTACAGAACAGCCTTTCTCCAGCAGAAGTTTGATTCTATGGTGATCATCCCTCTTAGTAAAACATGAATCCAGTTAATAAAGTGGATTATCCAGTAATAAGTGGATTATCCAGTTAAACATCATCACATTGCTTGTCCACCAGCAATACTCTGTGGTGACTGGGCTCCTTACTGTTGGAGAAGTCCAGCTGCAAGCAGAGTGAAGAAACCCACTCTTGGTAGGTACTGGTGCTCTCCATTGCACATAACTCCCTCTGAGCTACAGAAAATGCAAATGCAATGCATTGCAAATGCAATACCAGCTGCCTGTCTACAGGGGCAGAAAAGAAGGCAGGCATTCTACTCCACCACAGAACTGAGACAGAAACCACAGCTGTGTCCTGGGGTGCTAGAAAACCACAGAGAAAATTAGTAGTCTCCAACTCTGCTGCCTAGGGAGGTAGGACAACTCCCCTATCACATCACTGGGCTAGCAGCTTCTGTGGCATAGTCCAGAGGCTGAGAAAACCCTCTCTTGTATTTAAGTGTAAGGCTCTTTCAGAGCTGTACGAATCACTGACATTTTCTGTTGGGAGAAGTGAATTGTAGTAAAGAAGCTTTGTGTTAATGGCAGTCTGTTCTTCTCTGAGGTTCTTGGTTAACTAGAATAATCTTTAATTACAGAAATATCTCCAATGAAACGCTGAAGGGCTTGAGACATCAGAAGATAAGGAGATGGTGGCTAGAGGAAGAGGACAGCCTGGTGGCAGACAGCAACCAGAGAGGGGGATCACTGGACTTTTGTCCAGTGACTGAAAATGACAATGGATAACAATAGTAGCTTCAGTGAAAAGCAAGAATAGCTCACAGCAGGGCTCCATTGACCAGCGCCTGATCTGTGCCGGGTGGCATAGGCCAACAAGGAGATTTGACGTGGAGACTGTGCTGCTGTAATCACTGAGCTCTAGTCAGTGAGCAGGAATGAGTCTGGGGAAAGGGAAACACCCATGTTTGGCACTACTACTTCTATCAAGACTATAAAATATTTTCAGCACCAGAAAGAAAAGTGAAAATTACTCATATGCACAGAAACTTCAAGTTGACTGAAAAGATTATTTCTTTTCCTTTTTTTTTTTTTTTTCTCTAAAAGAGTAGTCTCTTAGGCAGATCATAAAACTTTTCCCATCAGTCTTGGAAGAAAAAGCCCTTCCTCTCATTATGTTGTAGAACCTAAGTCCCAGAAGCTGAGTAAATAAAATTAGTTACCAGGCAATACTTATCCTGCCAAACCTGTTCTGCTCTGGCATAGGTACAGCAGGAACTCACAGTACAGGGAACAGAGGAGGTGGTGGTGAGGAATGGTGGGATGAACCAGGACAGTGTGGGAGGCAGTAGAAACTTAAGTGGGAAAAATATGAGGCAGTATCAAAGCTGTGTTACCCTGACAGCTGAATCTTGAATAGCAGCAGGGAACCGATTTGTCCTTCAGAACCTTTCTTCAAATTTGGCATGGATATAAATTCAGTGGATATGACAAGTTTGAAGTCTGATCAGTCCTAAATTATGTATACATGAAGAAAGATTGCCATAAATGTGAGATTCTCTGAATTAACTTCTATTAATGATTCTGCCCCTAGAATATTTTTTGATGACACTGATAAGAAATAGAATCCTTCATTATTTGGTCTATCTGTTAAGTGAAGGCTGGAACATAATACATTTCCTTTTATAGAAGAAAATTTTTCTGATCAATTGTTTCTAAATACTCCGTTTGCCAGCTTTTACAGAAGTTAGTACAAGGTTGGCTAGTGGCTGTGATTGAATGCCATGGCCCTGTGGGCAGACAGGATGTGAATTTATAAGAATTACATCCTCACAGGCACTAACACAAATGTAGTTAAGTTGAGAAGTAGTAAGATGAGTTGCCATGTGTTCTGTTTCCAATGGGTAAGGTGTTCTATTTTGGCTAAATGGAATCTTATAGATTTAAGTCAAATAAAGTAAAACTTACAAAAGTTGAAGCAACAGAGCCTGACTTTTCAGGGGAAAAAAGAAATCTGTGCAGAGGGGATGCATTCCTCTCTTAATTTGGCAGAAGGATGGAGATGGAATAAAAGAGTACAGATGTATTTAGGTCTTTAAAATTTATCAGCAGCATACTGGTGACAATAGATATATTGCTAAGGAAGAAAAAGAGTCAGCAAATTCTGTGTCCATGTTCATGCCAGTTCCAACAAAACCTGCCTGGCTAAATTCTACTTGAGAGACTTGAGATTTAGTGATTTCCTCAAAAAATCCACATTTTATGCTGTTTACTTAATGGTGCAACACTGTTCACAAAGGTTAAGACTACTGCTGCGTGGTAGCAAAGGAATTAATGTGCCTAATTTAGACCTATATTTAGGGGAAATTTTGCATCATGAAGTAGTAGTGTTTAGAATCAAGGAAATTTATATGCTTGGTCAGGCACAATTTCTTTCTTGAGTGAGTCATCCTTGTTCAGTGTAAATGTAATTTTCCTTAGACTTGCAATAAGTATTCATATCTAACCAATGATCTTGGTGTCCAGGTAGAATAACTGATAGATAATTGTTTTATCAAGATAAGCACTTTATGTCATGGAAAAAGTAATGTCACATATATTTACCATCAGGTTTACCAATGACTTTATCCAGAAAGCAGCTTGGTTTCTCGAAGAGGTATAGGTCCAATGGGGATGAGGGCTGCATATATGTACATAAATACACACACCCATGTATACACATATATGGTCTTATATAAATATAATTACATATATAGCATGCTTCTTCAAACTCCTCACTCCTTTTATATTCTAAGTTGTGCCATATCTTTGGAGGAAGGCAATTACCTGTTATTTGTAGGATTCTGTTAACACTAAAGAAATGTACTAGCTCAGAGAATTCAGGATGTCAACATGACCTTATTAGTCAATTACCTTAAATAAAATGCAACGTTTTCAATAAAGTGACCTTGCCTTCCTCAGTCCTGTAATGGTCACCCAGCAGAATTGGTCTTTTTAATCTCTTGTTCAAGATGTTGAAAAGACAAATGGTTGATATACTTAATACTTTGTACTGAAAAATAAGGTTCAAGTCACAAAATACTTCATATCTCTTTCCAGCTACTCTGTAGAGTTTTGTGTCCTTCTTCCCCCAGCTTGGCAATCTGCTCTTAAAAGTGGTCATGGTAGGAAATAAAAGAATGCAGTAGCTAAAGTGGGCTCACACAACTGTGGGTGTCCAAGCCTCCATCCTGATCTTACCAATTCTGAGACCAGTTTTGGTTTTGTTGAACATGTGCCAGTTCTTGGGCACCCAGAAAATGATGGGGTCAGCAAAGCCCACCAGCTTTCTCTGGGCCAGTTTCAAAACATACAGACTTAGAATGGATTACACACTAAATGGTCTGTCTGTAGTTACTTTTCACAGTAGTTGGGCTCTATTTCCTGGTTTCTGATTCTGGTTAACTAGAGTGCAGTCCCAGTCTCAGTTTAGTGGTCCTGTTGGGCTATATTGTACATCCTTTCACCTCTTTTAATTCAGTTTGCATCGCTGTAGATTTTGTGTACTTGTTGTAAAATCAATGTTATGCAATGGGCTGTTGAACTTGGGTTACAGTGGCAGACAAAAACTTGGACCCAGCAGTGGTGACATTCTCTCTCACTGCTCACGCACCCTCTTACCCATTCACAGAAAGGTCACATTAACTTGTCAAAACAGCTTTCAGCTTCAGCTCCATTTGACTCTGTGTTCCTGGGCCACAGCACGTGTACACAGCACAGCGCTGCTCTCTGAGGCCTCCTTGCCCTGGGCTATGAGTTTGGATGGAGCAATATGTGCATGCTTGGACTGGATGTACTGGGGCCAGTGTGCTGGAGCCTGGTCTGGACACTGACTGCTCTTTGGCTCTGCCTTGGGCAGCTGGGCTCCAGCGACCAGCGATGTTTCTGAGGCTGTTATCCTTTGTAGCAGTGAATGTCTTCATGCCTGCAACGCAGTGGTTCCAGCCCATAGGAGACCCAGTGGATAGTGCACATCATCCCCAGGCCAAGATTCTTCGCTAAAGTAGGGAGGTCTGGTGCTGGGTGTAGCTGCCTGCATGTGGATCATACAGGGCAGGTTCTTAGGATGAGTTTCAGATGCTGCCTAGATGTTGCCCAATAAGTAATCAGCTGTGGAAGAAGTAGGGTTGAAAATCTGGGAAAGGATATCTTTCCTGCTGCATCCATAGCTGATAGCTAGGATCTATTGCAGCTTGGCTTTTCAGGGCTCCAGGCTCCTAGAGAGCAATGCTAGTGAGAGGCCCATCTTTGCAGTGTCTAATATGTAAAATATGTTCTAACCCAGATACTCAGGCATACCTGAAAACAGTACTTGTGTGTGACCTTGCGTATTTCCTGTGCTGTTTGGATCCTACTGTTTAAAGGAGCTTAATGTTTAACTGTAGGGTGGAATAAGTTCCAATGCTTCCCTGAAAATGTCCCAGCAGGATGGAGGACCCAGGCAACCTCTTCCCTGGGCACAAGCTTTAGAGCCTGGTGAGGGGGAGCACTGAAGCAGGTATCCTTCTCTCTTCTGTGTCTTCTTCTCTCTTCTGCATCTTCTATATCTTCAGGTATCCTTCTCTTCCTCCAGGGCAAATCCTTGTGTTTCCATGGTTGGTCCTGACAGCTCAGAGGCCTAATAGTTCTTCTCTGGGAGTGCAGCACAAACCAACACACTGTACCAGATGCCCTCAGCCATGGCATTTATTCCTTGTAGATGAAGGCCCACATTGCCACAATGAAGTCAGCAGGAATTACTACTCACCAATGAGGAAACACAGGCAAACCATCTAATTTGGGATACTCCCACCTAGCCATGCTATTTAGTCAGGTCCATTTTCCAGGCATCCCTTCTGCCTCAGCAGTGTTAAGTTTTAATAAGTGCTATTCATTGCCTCACTGAAGCAATGCCTGGAACAGCCCATGGGTACTATTGCCACATGCACCTGCTATAATGAACACCAAAGCCTATTTCAGTGACCTGAATCTTTTGAAAATTTAGTCCTTTATTTTTATCCACTTAGAGGGAGCACAAGCTAGTGTCCTACTTTTTCTCAACTATGTCATCTGACTCATCAATCAAAATTGAGGCTGAATCTTCTTATCACCCACCGACTTTCAATCAACCTAACAAATTGATCAGAAGTACAAAGGAAATGTTTTGTCACTCAGCCCTATACCTTTGCAAATCTCGAGTCATGTGAGATATTATAAAGTTTACAGAAAATACAATTTCAACAAGGCCAAGTCCTACACTCTTGGAAGTGTAGGTAAGGTTACCTTGGAAAGGTGTGGTTAGATAGAAAGAACATCACAGGACAAAGAGAAAAACTTATGTGAAGGAAGACAACTTTAATATGAGCTTCTGTACTATTGGGTTGCTTCATTTGAAATATAATACAATAGTAATATTGTTTTATCCACTTCCATCAGAGTCCACTGCACACTCTTATAACATTTACCAGATACAGAAATATAAAAGATATTTGGCCTACAGGCTGTTAAAGAAATGGCTTAAAATGTAGGTCTATCCAGAAGAACCTCTGTTAAAAATGTGACAGGTTTTCCCCCTGTACTTTAGAAAATGCATGAAGCAGTTTAAAAATAACACACCACCATCACCCCTACCACCAAAATCTGTTTTTCTTGTTGTTATGGCAAAACAAGTGTCAGTGACCTGATCCTATTCTGTCTGACTCATGAGACATATATAGGAAACAATTACAACACATGCTAGAAGATCATTCCTTCCTTCCTCTTAGAAACTCTTTCCAGGAATCCAGCCTGCGATCCTTCAAAATGTCTTCAGCCTGGCCAGGAATAAAAAGTAAAAGACTGAAATATCCCAGTTTCCAAGGTAAACAATCCACATTTCTCACTGTGTCATTTGTCTTCTGATGTCTCACACCTGATTTTAAGACAGATCTACAAAAAAGTTGAAAATATGTTTGGTTGGGACCCAAAATTCGCAGCCCTTTCGAACATTGCCAACTGTGGGTTTTCTTTTTGTGCTGAGTTGTGATTGTCTCTACCTCCCCCACTTCTTTGTTTAAATTAGTCTTACCTGTGCCTCTTCTTGCTCCTAGTTAAAGTCCTCTTCTCCTACACATCCCACAAAGTAAATTTATGACTATATTTTCATAAACAGAAAAATGAAATAAAATTAATACTATGTATATTTTTCAAGCTATCCTTTCATAAATTAAGTCCTAAGCATTACCTCTGTGCAAACAACCAATGATCAAATCCTAAACCAGGTTGCAGAACTGGCCCTCAGCATAGGTTTTCCAATGAAACTGAATTGGTGTTAAATTAATTCTGGGACATTAGATACACAGATTAGAATTAGAAATAATCTTGCTAACAGGTTTTATGCCTTGGATGATCCTCTGTTTCCAAGTCAGCCACCTCATCATACACCTCATCAACATGAAACCAATCAAAATATTAATGATTTATATGAAGTTATAACTAATAGTAATCAGATGTACTGCCCCAATGACAATTACTTTTATTTTGTGTTCATTAAGTAAATTGAAGTTTTTTCTAGGCAGTGTGTAGTATTGGTTGTTGGAGTTCATTTTAATATCACCAATCAAAGGGACAAATGAATAGTTTTCACATTGTGCTGATGTCTTCTGTTTCACTGCAGTTAAATTCTTACCATGGCGAGTTTGACTGTAAAATACAGAGGCTTTCATATGCTGTGTGCCTACCATACCACGTTAAATGTTTCTTTTTGAAAAAGCATTATTTATAGAGTGCAATTTACCTGCAAAACAGCACAAAACACTGTTGGTAAACAAAGATAAATCTGCTGATGAAATTCAGTACATCTAAAACCTATTACTGAATTGAAAAGGAAAGTACTGTCTATAGAGAAGCAACTTCTGGGCTGTATACTCTTCTTCAGTTAATCTGAGCTTTGATCACAATAATGGAGTATAAAACATAGTACATTCCAGGGAGCAAAACCAGAAGAATCAGACTGGAATAAAAGAATGTTTGAGTAAGATTTTTGTGAGAATAGTGCATGGTGATACATATTTAACATTAAGCTTTACTGATACTAAGCATTTAGTAGGGATACTAAGCTGGGTAGACCCTTTAGTCCTCAAAGGATTCTCAGTCCTGTTCCACAGGGGAAACAAGCATGAGAACTCAAGGAGAATATGCAGCAAGCAGCTAGAGGCTAAATGATCTCCTGTCAGAATTTCAGTAAGGACAAATCTCCCCTAGCTAAGATCAGTGAAAGAATCTTGTGGAGTTGCCTCCAATGCTTAGGGCAACTAGAAGTGAAATACTATGTCAAGTAAAAATAGTTACAAGAATCACACAATGGGTGAGGTTGTATGGGATTATATTGATGAAGATAATGATGATGCTTATTCCTGCTATCCAAAACCACAGCGATTTGGTCCAGGGTTACAAAGAACCTCAATATTATTGAATATTTATATCTTCATGATATTATCAAATCTCTTTAGCCACAAAATTTATCTAATATATTATATTACTGTGCTATAATTACTGAACAACTTAATAATTTTGAGCACTGAAAAGAGAGCAAGTTTCAGTGTTTTAAATCTCCTGACAGCTTTCGAGTGAGGAAATTCTGGTTTTCTGATTTTCTATCTGAAAAATGGAGTAATAGAAACTGAAGATCACTCTCTGAAAGCCAGTCCCCATGAGATTGGGAGAGGCATTTAATAACATAGTCAGGAGTGCCAGCAAACCCCTACTGACATCATTAGGAGTTGACATGTGCAGTTGATAGCAGTACTTTTTTTGCAATCCTGTGAAGGACTTGCCTGCCTCCTAAACCTCTAATCCCCAGTGACTGAAGTCCCTGCATGGAGGAGAAGGCAATGATGGAAGCAGTTGCCTGCTGCCTGGAAATGAAATCTATGTGCGAAGCACAGGGAAAGCAGATTTTTCTACAGCATGTGGAAGGGATGTCTGATTTCCCAGCTGGCCTCTGACAGAAAGTTTCATTCCCTGGCAGGGTCTTTCCTTGCTCCTTCTCTGGGCCTCACTCTTTACCTGTCAGTCATTCCTGCAGGATTTTCTGAATGCTTGTAGGCATGCAGCCGTGTCCAAAACTCATCCAAGAAGAAAGGGCTGATGGTGAGTTGTCAGAGACATCTTTTGTGAAAAATCCTTTCTTTAGGATTTTTCCCTCTTCTGGAAGGCTGAGGCCCCAGAGAAAGAATGTAAACAATGGTTATCTGCTGCTGTGGAATGCAACAGGTGCACCTGTGATTGGCCCATGTTCCATGTTTACAATTAAGGGCCAATCAGGGGCCAAGCTCTCTCTGGGACAGATCAGAGAGAGCTCCTTTGTTGATTGATTCCTTTTTCTATCCTTAGCATAGCAGCTTCTGAATTTCTCTCTCTACTCCTTTTAGTATAGTCTTAATGTAATATATATCATAAATTAATAAATCCAGCCTTCTGATCATGGAGTCAAGATTCTCCTCTATCTCTTCACCCCTGAGGAACCCTTGCAAGCCCAGCAATAGTGAGTGGCATCAGAGCAAGCAGTTGTGTTCTGATGCCAGTCACCAGCCAAGAGTCTTGTGGTTAATTCCCCAAATGCCAATTCTGAAACTTGAAGATAGACACTCCAAAATTTTTAGCCACAGGCTTCTTTCTGCTTAGACATTTCCATTTATATTCTGTGATAGATAGACATTATTTTGGGAGAGCAAAATGGGCTATTACCACAGGATCATATAAATTCTCTCTGTCTTCTGGGAAGTTCAGACTGAAAGATAATCTGGACATAACTATCCTAAAACATTAAACATTTATGAAAAATATATATCACAGTATCTTACATACAATTGTGCAATATACTTTCATGACTTTGCTCCCAAGGCACTTCTTTTAGATATTAAATTGATGAAAAATGGTGTGATGCTTTGCAGCAAGAAAAGATCTCTCCTCCAGCCCCCCAAATGAACTCCCTAAGACATATTTCTTTTGCTTCATGTTAAAGCAGAAAACTGCATTTCCACCTCATCATTTTATATTGTAATGGTTCTGGTTATGAAAATGGAATAATCAAGAAAGCTATTTTTAAAATAGCTTCACTAAACTATAGAGGAAATGATATTGTCTGCTGAGTTAGAAAATCTGTCTATAATTAGATTTAAATGTCGCTCCTTTCAGTGCATTTTAGCATTTCTGCAGACCGTAGTCCTTATGAAGTATATAGTTCCAGAGTATAGCCTTCCTCTTTTGAAAATTATGACCCTGTGGCATGCTTTCAGGAGATGATGTCTTTATATCATCTCTAAAAGATAATCTAATAGTTGATGCAGTCTCACTCCTGTGGCATAATTTGTTTTCATTTGCTTTTCTCTATGTATTGTGTGTTGTAAGATAGTGAGAAAAATTATTCATCTGTATCTAAGGATAATACAGAATTTTACTATAAATATCTCTATTTTGTAGTTTACAGATGATGCTTGTGTATATGAAGTGCTATTTACTCTACATAAAGAGCAGTGGAATTTCAACAATTGTAGTGTTGTTTCTCATTCTGCAATCTTACTGTATAAATAAACAGTTATTAGTATGAAAGATATTTATATAGCTGTCCTTTTGCAGAAAAAATGCCAACTGACCAGCTCTTGTTGAGTTTTTTATTGCCTTCAATAATGCCATTACTTATGAGGTTAGGTTTTTTATTCATCCACATGTGGTGGCTGTTTCCAAATTGAGACTTGTTTCTGAAAACTATACTGAAGAGTAAAAAGCGACTCCTAAAGAAACTGTTGACACCATATTGCTAGTTCAAGTTATCAAGACATTGCTATGTTTTAGTGGTTTCTGAGAACACCTACAGTATATAGGATACGTATAGGGTGCAGAGATGGAGAGAGGAAGGGGACACACCAGGACCTTGTGGTGTCCCCTGCCACTTCGCAGCTCTGCCACGTGTCCTCGTGGTGTGTGAGTAGCTGCTGCCTCCACTGCCCTTTCCTCCTTGTCTTGCAGTCCACTTCTAACATTTGACCAGCTCAGACAGGGTCCCCACATCAGTCTGTGAGCAGTGACAGGGAGGGGAGGGAATGGGGAATGAAGGTGCACAAGGCCAGATCATCAGCCAGCATCGAGCAGAGTAAACAAGACCAGTGTAGATGGTTTGTCACACCTGCAGTTCTGATGTGGATGCCTTCCTCTTTGGAAACAGCAGAACTGACCCTCTCCTCTACCAAGCAGACCTTGTTCTCAGGTGTTCAACCACTGCTGGATTTGTGTTTCAAGCAATTGAAGTATAATGCAGTGGAAATATTTTCCCTTTGGGACCTCTGGTTTTCAGAAGATATAGTTCCCCTTGTTAGCCAGAAATGAACTTAAAAAAAATCACACTTTAGCCCACATGAATTCTGACTGTACTTGAAACTTTAACCTAATTAAACTGTTAACTTTAAACTCTAGCATAAAAAGAAAAAAAGGAACAATTCGTACATTCTGTAGGTAACATCTCCCATTTTGGTGGCCTTTGTACTACACAACGTTGAGTTCAGACATTTCAACTCTAATTACAACATATAGATGGACTTCTACTATGAGTAAGTAGAACCATGATTTCCAGCTCAGGTGACCCAGCCTGCCTGGCTCTCCTTGCTTACCAGCCATGTGGCTGGTGAAACAATGCAATTTCTTTTATCAAAAACACCTGACTCCAAAGATCTGTCACTGCAAACAGTCATGGGAGCAAATCACATGCCAGCCTAAGAAATCAATAGTGGTGAATAAATTGAACTATAATAGTGTGTCTGTCTGGGTATTTAAAAATAGATGAACAAAGAAAATGCAAAGCACGTGAAGCAGCCGAGAAGGGTTTACAGAGATTACTCAAAGGCTAAAAAATTGCAAGCAAACTCCCCTTCCAGAAACAGCCTAGCTCAACACCATATGAAATCTGAGAAGTGCCTTGTTCCCATGACTTTGAAAATCTTCTCACACACATCATTTGTGTCTTCCCAAACACAAAGAGATAGTAGCTAATTTCCTTTTTTGCTTATATGCTCCCATAATGGCCCATACATGGCCCATTGATAGAGCCCAAATAAAGCAAAGGGAAGGGTCTTGGACATGTAACAATTCAGCCTTCAGGCCATGAACTTTCAAGGAAATGGCAAACAGCAAATCCATCAACAAACAGTGAGCTGAGATTGTCTCAAGAGGGCTTATTAAATTTGCAGGAGAACTATGAACACATTCAAAAAGTTCTACTGAATATTGCTATCAAACCTCTGAACTGTTACAAGCATCTTCTGGTGATACTCTTGAGGCTTCTTCTAACATTCTAGAGAAGATGCAGTTTTCCTTTAAAATCCACAGGGTACTTAAAAAGTCTGCAAGGGTTATAATTTTCTAGTAAATATCATTGTATCAAACATTTCTTTTAAGATTCTCTTTCAAAAGAAAAAGTAATGAAAAGCAAACAAATAAAAAGCACTTAGGAAACAAGGTTTTGACTATCAAGAAAAAGTGGAGACAGCTGGAAAAAATTTAGTATATGTGAATGTAACGAAACTCAAGGATTTGTAAAGAAATTAATGACATTAATGAAGCACTAGCAGAGATCTATAAATAATTATACATTAAAAGCTTCTTAAAGTGACACTTTAGTTGGACAAACATCTCTTGACATCTGGATCCATAGGAATAAACCTTTCTGGGTGCCATATTAGAGTCAGCAGCTTCTCTCTAGAAACTAACTTTAAAATGCTAGTAATTTTTTAAAAGTTATTTAAATTATTCCTATAATTATTCTGTGCAGTTGCTCTATTTCTCATTTCTTTTGGGGTTGTCCTCACTGGGCCAGGGGAACCTGTGAGCTCCAACTTGATCTGTTGTTCCTCAGAACCTGGCCAGGGGCTTCATCATGGGAAGGGCTGATCTGATACCAGTTCCCTAAATGTTGTGCTTCAGTCAGCTCCTGGCTCAGCGGTTATCGGAAGCCTGAAGAGATTTTCCTGAAGATGCTGAAATAAATGAGGTATGTTAGCTTGTTTTATAAGAAGTCCACCCTGCTTTTAATGAGCTAATTACCCTGCAGTCTTATTGCTGGTTATGCTTTTCTAATGCTTTGTGAAATCTGCTGAATCTGGAGACAGAGCAATGATGACACCTCAGGTTCATTTCTGATTACAGTTTGTCACTGTGTAAGCAGTGACTGTTCTCACAGCTCACATAGCATTGGAGAAACTCAGAGCATTTTATGAACACTCAGAACAGTTGGAAGAATATATCAATTATTAATAAGACACATTCTTATGTTTGAACATTATATGCTGTCTTTTCTTCTCAGAATGTTTTCCAATATACAAGTACACTAACAGCTTCATTCTCTGTGGCACTGTATAGAGTTTATGATCAGTCTAATAGGGTTTAGTGTAGGAAGCAAAACTATGGTTGCTAGAGAAAAGGACAGAAACCACTTTACTTTTTGAGATACAAAAAGTAAATACACAGAATTTGGCCTAGGATATGGAAGCTAAAATCTGCGTACTCTTGGAAATTAAATAATGCTGTTTTTAATGACTGTGGTGCCAAGGGTGTGCCCTTACAACTGTTTAAACCCAACTCCTATTAGCACCAGTCTGGATTTTATGTTAACACAAGGTCAGAGAGATGAGTCATGCACAGTACAGTTATAGCAGATCACTGAACCCACGCCCGGGTGAGTGTCCTCCACACTAGCTGGGCATTAATGGTGTGTGACTGCTCTGCTTAAGGTGGCACAACTGCAGCACTCAGCAGGGACAGCATGGATTTTCTCTCTGTCCACAGCAGAGAGCATGCACTCCCATCCTGGGTCACACAAAGGACGGGCAAACACGCAGAGGAAGGGCAAGGTTTAGGTAGGGACAGGCAGTCACATCACTCTGCTCATTGCTGGGCTCTGTGCAGTCAATAAGGGTTTTGGATATGGGAAAATAGCTGATGCAGGGTTTGGCACACGTGAGAGAAGGCAGCCATCCTGGCAGCCTGCAATGCTAGAAGTGTTGGTGCTGAGGGTCTGTTTGGTACCTGGGTGAGGGTGTGTGCCAAAGAGCCTGCTGGCTCATGGCAGGATGATTGAGGCAGAAGTCTCAGTATGTTTGAGTAGTTGTGCCACTAGCTGGTAAGAGAGAGGATATTTTACAGGCAGAGAACCGAGACAGTGAT